TAATTTTTAGAAATTTTTAGAATATTTAAAAGAAAAATAGAGGATTCAAATGTCTTACTTTCTGTTTCTACAATTTGTATTATTTGATTCAACTCATGTATACCAAAGCTTCCTAAGCTATGAACACTATCAATTGCAACAACCTCAACTACAGATGATTAATTTTTTTAACAATCATTATCATTTGATACATTTTTATCAACATGTTGAAGACATATAGGATTGATAGATGACTATGTGAAGTATTGCAGGGTAAAGTAATAAAACGTACTACTCAAGCATTCGCGAGAAAATGCAATTTGAAAATTTGGAATTACCTTATAAGAATATTAAATAGATCGTTTATTCGAAAATCGAGTAGCGTAGCGGTAGCGTACTTGGTTAGTAATGTTGACGCTGCTGGTTTGAGTCTCGATATACTCTACTTTTTTCTCTTCAAAATTCTACAATATAATCTAAATGTAAGTAAATTGTTTATTCAAAATGTAACGTTCTTTTTATTTATTGCATGTTATAAAAGTGCATTTTTTGCATAAAAACTTTGTGATTTAAAAAATACGATACAAATAAATAGCTTAGTACTAATTTCTATCTGTTTTCAAAAAACGCGGATAATTAATTAATTGTATGCAACAAGTAAAAATATACGCAACATGTTTTATTTATTGGAACTAAATGAGGCAATACATAATGCAGGATGATATTTGTCATAACAATTAGTGAAGCACTAATTTTCACGACAATGCGCACATCGTATGAACGCTGCTGTTTTACATTCACAAGGTTTTTTCTTTCAAATATCTATTGAAAACCATACTTCGCTGACACTCATAAATATCTTTCTCTCGTTTGTTAATTTGGAAGCATACCATGCATACTGTAACATATTTCGACAACTCGGGGCGGACAATTGATGTATGATTGAATGAATTTTTATGCAATTTCCACGAGATGTTATTTTGCGGTTTGGTTCTATTAAAGTTGATTCTGCAAACGCTTTCTAAAAGTTTTGACTTGTCTATAAAAATAAACGTAACGCTTGATATTACTTATTTATCCGCTTTTTATGAACACAATTAGTAATTAGTAAAAATCTATTTCTTTTTACCGTATTTTTAAAATCACAGAGTATTTATGCAAACAATGCACTTTCATAACATGCAATAACTTAAAAGAACGTTACATTTAGAATAAATTTTTACGAAAAAAACTACTACCGATTACATATAAATAAAGTCAGTAATATAAATATTACTGACAATCACACAATAATAGTATTAGATATTACAGGAATCATTGAGAATATTACTGGCAATTATACAGAATGCCAGTAATTATTTCAAACCACTGCCACAATATGTTACTGCCAGTAGTTCTTCTTTTTCGTAAGAGAACAAATTACTTACATTTAGATTATATTGTAGAATTTTGAAGAAAAAAAGAAGTATATCGAGATTCGAACCAGCAGCATTGACATTACTAACCAAGTACGCTACCACTACGCTACGCGATCTTCGATCTATTTAATATCCTTATAAGATAACTCGAAATTTTCAAGTTTTCGATTTTCTCGCGAATGCTTGAGTAATTCGTCTTATTCATTTACCTTGCAATATTCCACATAGTCATCTATCGATTTTATAAATTTCGTCCAAATCGATTGGTACTACGTCGCACGTCTGCCCTTGTCAGTAATTTGCCAAATTATCGGTAGATCATAGGCTAGTAATTTATTACTCACTTTGGTTTAATAATTATAAGTAAATTATAAGTACTAAATTTCTGTAACAGATATTGAATTGTACTACGATAACGTGACAATTGTATGAATTCCAAGTATGACTATGCATTACAAGTAATTTCAAAGTTTTCATTAAAATAACAAAATTGCACAAACTAGAATTGTATATTTAAAGTTACAATAAATGTCAAATAATCATATTGCATCATTTTGAAAGGTATACTAAAAAAATTTTCTTGAAAAACCGTTTTACTAATAAAAATTTTTCAACATTATCGCTGTCAACATTTTTCTTGCATCTCGATTAAATGATTATGTCGTGTCTCTTCTTTTGTCAGGCAACTCTGTAAAATCGTACAACATTTTTTTCAAAGAAAGGTTACCGAAAAATACAACGCTCGCAATGAACGTGACATCGCGCAAGTCACTGCGAACTTTTGCGTAAAACGGAAAAAATAAAATCTGGATTATAGCGATTTCGAATGCAGTTCCGAATATTTATCCAGCAAAAAAATTCTGTGCAATTTTATCAGTGGAATATCTGGCTATTTACAATACTTCAAATTAAATTTTTTAAATTATGAACAATATTTCAAGTACAGATTTCGACGAAAACTATCTCAGTATTAAATAAAACAGTCTGTATGTTAAATTATATTCTCATATTTAACCGTGAAAACGACATATATAAATCCACTTTTTCTATCATCATACATGTACATAGAAGAGAACAAAAATAAAGTCGTTTTCCCAAACACAGATGTTTACTTTCTGGCACGTAGATATTGTTCCACTGAAACGATCGTTTCTTAGTTCTCGAGAATATCTCGAAGAGGTAAGATCGCGCAAACGTTACGTTTTTGATCTTGTAGTAGAAGTTCGCAGTCATATTTCTTGCAAGATTTACATTTTAATGCACTGGATATCACTGTATAGAAGATGGTAAGTTCTTACTCCTATGTTTTCTTATATTTGTTGAATATTTACAAGTGTTATAAAATATAACGTTTCTAATCGTATGCAAATATCTGACAGTCAATATCGAACCATAAGTTTATTATGCAATGCAAAACGCGCTCAAATCTAATTAAGGTAGTTCTATCACGTAGGGCCAGATTTCGTGAGTGCTTAAAGCGGTTTATTAAAAGATAGAAGAAAAATTGCGTACTATGCATAACTAAAAATATAATTATTAATGAAATAAGTTAAACTATTTTACATCACATTGAGTATAATTGCGGCGTTGCCACATATGGCGGCTATACTACATACAGGTTAAAATTTTGACATTTATCAATTTAGATCAATTTAGTAAATCAAAATGGTCGGTAACGTTGTTATTTGTTTCAATGTCTACTTAGTAGACAGTTTGAAAATATATTTAATAATTTTTGGAAAAGATCTCAAGTCTACTTGAAAAGAAATGGAGTAGACCTAACTTAAATGTAACAAAATAAAAAAAATAGAATAATAGATCTAATTAAATCCAAATTAAATCTAAATAGATATATAGTAGATCTAAATAAATATAAAGTAAATCTAAACAAATATAGGTCGATCTATGGAAATTTACACTTTTATTTAGTATTAGATCTACTTTCGATCTATTCAGTTCTATTATATTAGATCACCTCAATACGAACACACAAAGAATTTACGTATACTACATATGTCAATGTTTTATATCTTTATTCAACTTAATATGTTTTGTTAAAATGGTCGTTAACCACCTGTTATTTTGTTTTAAAAAATTGAAGATTGGTTTAGACAATAGTATATAAAATATTAGAATTTATGTCAGAACTTGTGTCTCGTGATAGAACTACCTTAAACAAGTTTCTCGAATTTAGTTTTGTTGCAAAAATGTCACATATTGTCGAACACATGGGGTATACAGTAAAACTGTACTTTGTTTTTTTATTCGTCTCTTTGTATGTCGGATTGGTAAAACCACATTCGTGATACGTGTTGTGATGTGTGTGCGTGATAGAANTAAATAACATCTTTTCTGATAAACATACTCATAATGGTCACACATCTGCAATTGCTGTTTGTGCATTTGATATTGCAAGCGTTCGTTNTTTTATAATATTTTGCGTATTACTTTTTTTTTTATGTATGTCTGTATTTCTCGTTTAACAAACAAAATAATTTTGTAGGCACGCATTACGCAAATGCTTATAATCTTCGGAACACTATGCTCAATATCTGTTATCGGAATAGCTTCTTCTATTGATGAGAATTTGTCTCCGACATCGCAGTGTGTACACCCGATAAATTATACTATGTTCTTAGACATACAAGACACTACACTTTTTGTCAATTCCACTGTTGTACTAAACGTGTCATGCGACCAGGAATACATCAAATTACAAATTGGACGTTATTGTAATATACAAGATTTAAATATTAAAACTGCAAAGCTCTATATGTCTATACCACATTCGGAAGTCATTATATCACAGTCAAATACTACCAAAAATCGATTCAAAAATGTAGATATTAATTTCCCCAAACAACAGTGCAGAGGCCCTGTGTGTCGTGCGGGACGAAACGAAAAAGTACCTATACAATCTGGAAAATACGTGATAAATTCAATGTATAACTGTACCTTAAAAGGAATTGCGATGGTTTTTATATACATGAACCAAAGTGTAACAAACGAGTAAGTGCATAAAAATCTAGTGCATGGTAACATATTTATAATGCTGCGCACATTATACAATTTAATATCTAAATTACATCTATTTCTACATTATCCAAATATTAGTCACCAGATATTTTTAATTTTAAATATTGCAACAAAAAATGTTTTACTATATATGATATTACTAGGTTTTACCTTATTTAATACAATTCCTAAATTTATTCTATACTTTATATACTAATATAATATAAAAACATTTACTACATACATTTAATAATATTATATATTTTTGTAAACAGCATTGTTATTTTCTACCTAGAATTGTATTCTTTTTAGTACTACATTTGTTGCGTTTGGTTTTGTAAAGTGATTCTTATATTTTTAATAATAAGGTATTTTTTTTTATTACCGTACTATTGTGATTTTGTTTTATCTGATTTTGATTTTATTAGATTTCTGTTTTTCTCGCGTATTCCTACTGAATGGATATTTCCACATTGGGAAAATCCAGCTACCAAAGCTAGATTTATCATTCGAATGAAACATACGAATACAGCTCTAATAAATATACATGAAACGTTTGAAACATGTACGTCTTATAAAGTATTTTATACTACATCTTTAATTTCCACGCATTCGGTTGCATTAATTGTCATACCAAATGCATATAAGACAACTACCGTAAGAAACGATACCGTTATTCTTAAAAGAGTCTTAAAAGATAGCACATTCTATGCACAAACTCTTATACTTGATATCGTGAGACTTCTCAGAACCATGTGGTATTATAGCATACCACGATCATATGTTCATTACTTACTACTTCCAATAACCGTAAGACATTACGAAAATATATTACTTCCTAGGTTTGTTTTCTTGAGGTAAGATGCATAACTCAATACAAAAACGAGTTTCTACACTATAACTCTGTACACACTGAAAAAAATGTACTAGCAGTAACAATTATTTTTATTTTTAGTGAAGTTACCATTATATACGACAGAGAAGTAGATTCCATTATAAAAAACAGAAAAGCAACATGTTCGGTAGCACGTACTGTGATACAAGAAATATTTAGTGATTGGTTAGTTCCGTTTAGACAGTCTGATCTTTGGTTTATTGAAGGATTTTCAACAGTATACGGAGTTTATATTCGCGATAAGGTTAGATTATTCTTGTGCAGTATTTATTTAAACAGTTTTACATAAATAAGATAGTTAAAAACCAGTGTTATTTTTAGAAATAATTTGGACCGTTTACAATGATATTAATATATTTATCTTTTAGTTTTTTTGAAATGATGCGCAGTATGACATATTATTATTAAAATATAAAAACATATATATAATGTTTGTGTGTGGAGAATAATTTACATACTTTCTTCCTCACTTTGCTACTAGATTTCCTGTGTTTTCATTTAATTATTTAATCACGAATATTATCACTTTACTAATATAGTTCAAGGTGATATTTTTGATTAAAAAGATAAGTGAAAACACAGAAAATTTATTACACTAATACATTATTTACATATTATCTGAGATGCTTTAGTATGTGTTCATCATCAAAATATATTTTACCTTACTCTGTCTTCTTGATAGTATTACAATACATCTTTACTAAAGTCGATTGTGATCCAAACACGACGGATATTTTTCGATTATACAGAAGCAATTACAAAGGAATCTCCATTTCGAGAAAATTCACTCATATCACACAATTCAACTCTTACTAAACTGTGGCAAGAAAAAGGTAAAGAACCAGAAATTTATTGAGTACTCTTATTTCTTTAACTCAACGTTTACAAAATGATAGGCCAACAAATATCAGATTTTCCTCTATATCTTTTAAAAATAATGTAAGACCATATCCTAAAACTACTGTAAAAAGTTGCAGCTACTCAGTATCTTTACTATGTTTATTGTAAGTGAACACTTTTGTAGTTTGGTTGTAGTTTGCCTTTTACAACGTCTAAAACATGTGTCGCTTTATTGCGACAAACATTATAATTGTTAATACAAAAGAAAACTGTGTTAATTGTACTTAAAACTTTGTGCCTTACTTTTATTGGAAGCTTGTACTTTTATATCTCATGTAGTTTGAAATATGAGAAAATCCAAATCGATTAACAATTTTGAAACTAACAAACGT